CACCCATTATTGATCTATAAATGAGGGTAGTAGTCAAATTTTTTTTGGAAGTGATGTGAATGGTTAGAGTTTAAAATTGGGCCCCAATAAGGATCTTGTGTTTCGGTGCCCGTAATTAATAAAAATCCTGACTTGAGCAGTCGATTACGAATTAATACTGTTCGTTATTATTTATTATGACAACAGAATTCCAAATGATTTATTTTAGTTTTTAATATAATAAAATAATAGTACGAATAATCACTATAGGCCGACGTCGGCATTGGTGACCACGAAGTGATATTATGAGTATATAACTAGAGACTGCAAATACCGTTCTATTTAATTTTTGGAGGTAATCGATGAAATTATTTCGATCATTATACCATAGATTATACCTGTATGCAATGTTACATATACTTAATATGTATATTGTGTGTGTTTTCCATATAAAAATAAGTGAACATCTGTGACCCCAGATGAAATTTTTACTGTTACGACCTTATGCAATTCTTATTAAATCTCGTTTTGCCCTTACTTTATATTTAGTTTGGTAAAGGATTTGAAATTTCTTATCGTAGGTAAGTACAACGCGAATCGAGGATAATCAAACTTGCGTGGTTCTGTTCAGAATTCAAACCCTTATAGTTCACTAAACTTAAGCAGTTCCGCACATATACACATTCAAGTTGCTTTTAAGCGTAATAGGCACATTTGAACAAATATTGGTTTTACCTATGAATTTCCTGTTATAGCGCTATTATATTTAAACATTATATCACGTATATTAACATACGCACGAATATACATACCTAGCTTATAAATATCTATGATACACAAACATTGTCCGGATCAGTGTACAATATTTTTTCATCGGATTGGACACTATAGCGATTGTAGGCAGTGTGATGATACGATGTGTATTGAAATCATACTGCACAAAATAAGCGGATGTATTAATATGCCAATCGTCAGTATGTGAAAACGCGATACATCATATCATAATATGGCTAGAAATCAAAACGACTTTTTTGTTATCACAGTTCAGTGACAGGTCAAGAACGAGGACGCTCGTATAACGAGTAATGCAGACGAGACAAATCAAACATAGAATCAAGCCAGTAAATTTTATAATTTACTGTACAACGCAGGTATACAGTTTAAAACAATTTCGTTGTCGAGAATGGTTTTCAGTAGAAGGAAGAGTTTCAATATTTTTTTGAAAGCCACGTGGGATTCGGGACGACATTATATATAATATATTATAAGGAAAATTGGCATTCGGTTGTCCCACGTTAACGTTTCGAGCAAAGGTTCTACCGTCATAGCGTACATGCCACCGAGTTGAAAAATGTAGTGTTATTTGTTGACTCTGCATGTAACGACGACGACGAGGACGAAAACAGTCGTGGAATTCGTCTCATTTATTCCACCGCACAACAGTTGTACCCTACAGCTCGGTTTTTAAATTAAAAAGTTGCTACTTAGTTTTTATTGTCCCGTGACGTTGTTGAATTAAAGAATGGGGGAAAAAAAGAGAAATAAATAAAGAAAGGATGACGAAAAAAAAAATTATATATAAGAATGCTTAATAATGTGTACTTTTATCTCGTCGTCGCGGACAGACCGAAATAATGGCAAAATATAGTTTTTCACGGTGGAACGCCACTATACAGCTAAGCCGAGTGTAAAATTTTGTGAGAAATTCAGTTTTTGAATGTCTTCCGGCGGGTTCACGTGCGTTTTAAAGAATGAATGCACACCGTTCGCCGAATCTATACCACTAAAAAGAAACGATATATATAAATTTAAATTATACAATAATAGAATAATAAATATTGAGATCAAGGTGAACGATGAAAAGTCGATATATATGTAGTTATTTAAAAAAATAAAAAAAAGGACTTTTGCGATGTGCACCATTGTTAAAAACAACGGGTGTCCTATACATATATCCATTATAGTAAGGTAAATTGAAATTGTTGTATTCAAATGACTATACACGTCGTCGGTAGGTAGGTACAAGGCAATATTATAACGTGATAATCGTATTGCCCAAATTGGATTCACGGGGAAGCCAACAATCACTAGAATTCGGGAGAAAAGCGTCCTATGATTTGTGCCTATATATTATACGCATTATGTGTAACGGTGATGACGTGTTTAATAATGCGTTTCGCTGCCGGAGTCAAGACAAGAGCCGTGTCAATTATTCCGGTTCGACATATATATATTAAAATATGATATCATGTATATGGCGTGCTTTTGTAGTATAAAGTTGTCCACGCGCATCGGTCGAAATGCCAAATAACTATTAGGTAAAACACACGTCGTAAAGGCCAAACCGCAGTACGTCGGTCGGCGGTTTCGTTCAAAATAACAGTAGGTATAATAACATAATGCGAATGCATCGGCATGCGGTTAATTCAATTTGATTACATACGATGACGTTTGGTAGGTAGTATATTGTCGCCAAATCATTATAAACGTGCAATTTAAATCGATTTGAACGCGTGACGATAATAATATATATAATATTAATTTATGATACGAGTATACGACGTTAGTTACCTCTCGGCGGCTCTCGCCGAGCACATGTCATCATCGCATAATAATATCATATGATATTTAGGTGCCCTCTTATAATGGCGCACAACATTTCTATACTTAAATGCATGCGAATATTTAATTGAATATGAATCGTACGTAAACGTAGGTCGCGGTGTGGCGATAACACCAAAACGGTATCTCTAAAGTCGAATAAAAAGGTTGCAATTTAAATGAGCTAGTTATATTTTTTGTACGACGAGCCTACATCACGTGTTTATTTTTTGTGTACGATTTTTATAACACGTGCGTTTTAAATCATAGAACGCTAGGAACGCGTGATGTTGGCGACGACGCCCAAATTCTTATTGAAATATGGTCGTTAAAATATTTACGTTTAATTTATAATTGTTGACCTATCCTATAATAATGTACTCATTGAAAGCTATTGAAAAAACAAAAAAATAAATAAAAATAATGGTCATTAGAATATATTGCATAATTAGGGAATTTCAGGATATTATACATTTTAAATTTTTTTTGCTCTTTACGGTTACTCAGAATTATTCAATTATATTCTTAATTAGCTACAGATGTGTTTTATTAGACCCCGGTATTTAAGGTATTTAAAATGTAATCTTTTTTTCCCCCATTGTTTCGTTGCAATTAAATCTTATCATTTTATGTCCTTTTAAATTAATTCGATGAAAATATATTATTTTGGAATACAATAGTTTTATATTTATCTAGTTTATTTGTTTGTTTTTTATCGTCTTATAACTCTGCAATCATTATTGTTTGTTAAAGTTAATGTAGTTAGGCGTAAGTATACAATATACAGTATACGCACCATACTATAAATATATACATAGTTTTGTTAATTAAGAGGACTTGTATTACATTTTTTTTGTTTTGTTAAGTTTAGTAAATAATTCTAAAAAATGAACATATACTACACTACAATACAAACACAGTTTTCTTTTGTGCTCGTACGTACTACACTACGATTTTGCATCTCATTTTCTATAGAAAAAATATCAGCTTTAAATGTATAGTGGAGTTATCCTATCAAAAAAGAGTTCAGTTAATAATTAAAAACACATGTTAATGATTAAATTTTAAATATCATGCCGACACTAAGTGACTGAAAATCATTAGATATCATGACTTTCAATCATGTCCGATGATGCGCATATTTTACGTAAGTCTTGAAAGAGAAAACAATTTTACTATATAATTATTATTATTTAAAATAGGCGCTTAAACATTTTTTCTTTTCAAAGCTTTTGTATAGAAATAGACGGTATTATATTATATATTAAATGCTTATAAATTTCACGGTTATCGTCATAAGCTAGGGAACGGATTTTATTGTAATAAAAAATTCAAAATATGTACTTATTTTAAATGAAATTTGTAAAAAAACATCAAAATTGTATGTTATAACCGTTTAACAGAAAGTAAGTATAAAAATCTTATCTCTTATCTAATTACTAAAATAATGCGAAACTACATATTCTCTAAGATTTAAAAATGTAAAATGGTGGTGATTTGGTCGTAAAATGTTTTTATATTGACTGAATGAACGTTCCACATTAACTGACGTAATGATAGCATACTTCATGTTAACAACATCAAGTGGTGTGGGTCGACATCCAATAATTCTGTTGGATTTAGTCCTTGGTGTATATCTCTAATTATTTTTAAATTTTTTAGGCCTTAATTTTTTTCCATCACATATTTACGTTTTTCTCTTATTTCATTCCATATGCGACCTTGACATTTTTCTAATTTGTTTTGTGATTTTTCAACAATGCATAAACTTTCTGATAAGGACATATTTCGAGTTTCTAGTTGTTTTATAGTATGAATCAAAAACCCAAAATTAGCAGAAATGTATGTTAAATTATTATTTTCCATCAAAAATATACCTATAGTTTAAAGTACGTAAGTCCATTTAGAGAACGTAGATAATGTTTATCGTCATTGAAAATTAAAAATACTATTATTTTAGGCTTTCATCGACAGCGAATAATTAGACCATAGGGTATGTGAATGTCATTCTGATAAGGCAAATAATCTTTGATGTCGTTGTAAATTGATGAAATAAACCAAAAATACCCAAATATTTACAAAATATTCAGTTATTTACAAAATATGTGAATATATGTATTTTTATACAAATATGTAAGAATATGTAAAATAAAATTGGTCTTATTTTAATAAGAATGATCTAAATCGTGCACATTTTTTATCAGATTAAAAATATCTCGTTCCAGTAAAAATATGTATTTACAATAAAATCCGTTCTTTAGTCATAATTATCCAAAATTATCATTTGCCCAGAAATGTAGCTATGCCCAGTAGATACGTATAATAGGTGTCTAAAACCTGTTATTTATCTATTATTATCATATACTTATTAGTTATTATGTAGGTGCTTATATTATAATATACATTGTATCTTTACTCACTTGGACTGTTCGATGATTATGCTCTGCACAACGGACATAATAGAGTCGCTCTGCATTTCCTGGATGACGCATCTGTACATCCGCAGGTTAGAGATCAGCGTCGAACTTTGGAACGCTTCGCTCTCCAAATGGTCCACGGTGACGTTGGTCAGCGTCGCGTTGCCAATGTCATTGATCGGAAACGCTCTCCGCTCGATCGTACCGAACGTACAATTGGTAATTGACAACATATCGATGGACGTACAGAATGCGTACGATGGCAATTTTTCCGAATTCAGGTCTTCCAATATCATCTGTTTCCGAATTATAAATGATAAAAATAGATTGAAAAATTAGATTTTTATCTGGATTATTGTATCTGTACCTACAATTATTTTTAAATGATAAAATGTTATTAATAATTTTTAGGGTAAAATAAATATGAAATTTTTAGTCGAAATAATATATGAACTATTAAAATACAATGGAACAAGTCAAAGTTATAAGAAAATGTCATTGGGAAAATCGCAGTCAACGCGTTTATCTACACGAACACATATTATAAACGGTTATAACACATAAATCAAATATGGTATATGACGTTGCGGTCGAGTTCCATGCCGATGTAATTGTTATCGAGAGTCTTTATCATGTGTGATGGACGGAAAAGTCGCGCCAACAATTTTTCTCTGCCGTTAATCTGTAGCTGTGTCGGTTCACCGCAGTGACTTGGCACCCGCAATAGTCGCAGAAATTATATCGTGTATCTGTTAAAAACACTCGTGTGTCACCACGAACTTGAGTTCTGAAAATTATTGCCGACCATTATACCTACGTATATATTTTTGTTTAAAAACGCATTATTCTCGTGCTGTTAGCAACGTTATATATATATATATTATTTTTTTAAACTTTTAGGTCCGTAAAAAACCTACAAAATTTATGATCTCTATATTATATAATTCATTTCAAACTTTAAAGCTCTTATAAACATGATAAGCTATATTATATCCGCGAAACCGTCGCATACCGTCATAAAATCTTCTGGGCTAATATAATATATAATATATTAATATTATATAGTCGTTGTTTGACATTAATTCTTTGAAATTAGTTTTCGGTCGGTAAACTTCAACTGCTTTACTGCCGGTTCATCATGGTGGCCGCTTTCGGAAAAAGGACGAGAGTAGCGACGAATACAATCATCGTTTTCTATATATAGTTGTATGCTCAACAAAATCAGATAACATTTTATGATTTTTACGAATTTCAATTGAAACGGATGTTACGGGGATAGCGAAATAGCAGATTTATCTATAATCATAGCGTGTTAGATGATGCACAATATAAGTGTATAAACAGTTACATACACCGTGAAAAAAATATATGGGAAGCTTGCAAAATAACAAGAAACGTAACACGCGTTGACTTCGAGCTTAACCGATGGATGGGTAATAATTTATAAGATAGMATAGAAGCATATCATTGTGGTGAGGAAAATCGGTAATTTACAACTATGCTATTAACTGCGTATTTTGATATACTCGTACATGTGATCGATTTACCTAACATTATCGAAGGTTGTCGTGATTTTATATAAATATAGATAATTTGGTATGATGTATCAATCCAATTATATATACGTGTTTGGCAATCACCTTTTCGATTGATGAACCTGTGGCCGCGTTCTTGAACGTATTCTTAGACAATTCCAGAACGCGGATCCGGCGGAACACGAAAGACCGAAGCTTAAACACCACTTCGCTGCCCAGCCGGACCACATCGCAGTCCTCCAATAGCACTTCCGCCGTACCATCGTAGGGATGAAACGCATTCGTGTCCAGATACAGCTGTCGGACATGACTGATGTTCACCGTGAAGTTTGTGCGAGCATACTTAGCGAGCATGCCTTGCGACCGGATCGTTACCAGGTCGAACCCGGTCACGTTGAACGACCGCAGACCGGCGAACGCCGCAAGCACCCTGTGGTTAATGGTCAGATTACATCGGCCGTCGCCATTAAACTCTAGAACCACCAAAGATTTGTTCAGGTTCTTGACCGGTTCCCAAATCACGTCCTAGAAAATCCAACAAAACAAAACAAACGACTATGAAAAATAACAAGACTTCAAAAGAATCTTATAAATACTGATATTTTTTAATGAGTTTCGAGGTCTATAATATGGATCTAAGCGGGTATTCATTTTAACTGAATATTTGACTACTAGACGACTYTCAAGTTAGTATATAACTTAAATATGGAAAGGTTGACTTTTTTCAATTGATAATTATAGGTCTAACATTTTTTGGACATGAAGTTCGATGTACCTACATGTTAGTCGTTGGTGTATTAGGTTTGTATGACTATTAAACATTTGAAAACTCTGATCAACCAATATTGTACTCGTCTTACCAAAAATATCGGCCCATAACAGTTTTCATAAGTTAAGTCGGTTTGGTAAGTAAATGAAGTATATATATATATTATATATAATAACTGATTTTTTGACATAAATTTTATTTAAACACGGTATTAAGTTATTGTATTCGAGTATTCGATAAGAAAAAATGAATAATTTAAAATGAATCTATTAGGTCCTTGACAAAGAAGCTAAAAAATTTGTTTACGTGACACGAATATATACTATACAGTGTGTTATTGAAAAAATTTACTTTACTTTTTATCGATATTTCACTATATATATGTTTTTTTCTGAAATAAAATGTTCTMTCTCTTTTAAACGAACTAAAATGGATTAACTGTAATGTTTTAAGATTGAAAGCTGATCTTAACATTTCAAAGAATATTTTTGTTGGTAGGTGCACCTTATAAATTATGTTAATAAACATATATTTTTTTTTTAATTTAGTCTGTCCTTTGATTGTACAGTTTGTATAAATAATTCACTACTTTCCAAACGAAACATTTCAAACACGTGGTTTCGTAGTGTTGTACTAAAATAATCAATAAAACGCAAATTACTATAGTGGACATGACTGATTACGGTTGACTACGGGTACCGTACTATTTAACCCGAGAGAACCATTTTACACTTCCAGGTAAGTGATGGACAACCATATTCTTGCGTTTAGGTCAACTAAACCCGACTATTCAACATTTCCAGGGTTCTGGGCTTTCTAATTTGTCAACTCAGTGTATTTTCGAAATTTATCATCAACAAAAATATATACAGTTGTCCTCGCGGACTTTGTAATTAATTAAAATACCAATTACTGGACTTAATCCCAAGGACAAAAATAACAAATGCCAAAAACTCATAAATCATATCCAAGTTCGAACGTACCCGCACATTATTATAATTTCTAACAGAAAGTTTGTCCATTTTTCTTATGTAATTCACTTATATATAATATTATAAAACCGTTAATTTAAAATCCTATAGGAGTGCATTACCACAATTTTAATTTTTATCCATATAATTAATAATTATACTGATTCAAAATCTCAACTATTACGGCTTTAATAACAAATCATACACATATATATTTTTTACGGACTAGTTTTAAAATAGATTACATTTTATAATCTTTGTAAGTGTTGCAATATATAAGTCATAATATTATAATAATATAAAGATATGTTTTCAATCATTCCATATTATGATTGATAGGCACGTGGGTATATTATAATTTATAATATACTTAATGATTTATCTGCTGAAGAAATCTCTCACATAATACATTTATGTTATTACAATCGCATAGTTTATAATTTTACGAAAAAAATTGTGTACATTCTGATAAAAAGTTTGTGCACGGTTGCTGCTGGAGACGTCGAGGACCCTAATGCCGAAATGCTTCATGAATTGCGATACTCCGGTTTTGGCACACGAACACGGAGAGCTGTGTAATCCCGAGGGATTACGCGATGCTTGACAAACGTGGTAGATTACGTGAAAAATGACGTGCACTGTTGCGCACATTATTTTCCTATTAAAATTGGCAGTGTACGAGTTCTTTTGTTCCCGTTCAGCTCGCTATTTTGCTCGATCCTATCGTGACCGTAAGTCTGATTTAATTTATGTGGACATATTCAAATTACATAATGGAGCTGGTTGAAATGTATACACGTACATATTATAAACACTTCAACGTGTATTATGACTTCATAAAACCATCATAATGTAATTTGAGTTGCAGTCTGTCGACTACAGTTTAGACATCAAAAGTGATTATTGGTATATACATATAATATAACAACTTTAGCATATTTACTCTAACATATAATATTATTTATTATTTACTTTCGATTATATTATACGAGTAGTTGCGCCAAAAATTAGTCGGTATAATTTTTATGTTACATTATGTTAATTTAAAATTATAAAACCAACGTATTTTTTAAATCTGAACCGAGATATGTGAGGAAAATGTTGCGTAAATAAATAATTTCATAGGAAAAATATGATCTGATGAAAATGAAAAACTAGATTGCGTTAACATAAAACATTTAGTATACGTTAAATACATATCGATGTTGAACTGATCGATCAGAACGCATTCATCAAGACGACCGAATTCTATCAAAGATTGGTATACACGCAAAACTTTAAAATGACAAGAAATACGATGTCGATGTGCATCATCACGAGAAACACTTGAATGCGTTTTATAATAAATTGGATATTGAGAGTCATCGAACATATTATACAATATAGCTGTATAAATCGTAAACATCACTTCTCCAAACAATTTTCGTTTATTGTGTTGTATTGTATAAAAAAAAATTGAAAAATTGTATAGGTTACATTACATAAAAAACTTATGTTTTACATATGTAATGTATTTTACGTAACTAATTGATATTTTAAGTTTTTAAGAATTCATATACTTTTCAAATGGAAAATCGTATAAAGCTTCTTTTGGTTTGTATTTTTTTGAATCCGATATAATATACATAAAAAACGTATACAATTTGTCTATTAACTATACACATCGTTATTTATATCGTATATATATATATATATATATATATATATATATATATATATATATATATATAGTCAAACGACTTTTCGGCTAAAATACCCACAGAGACCTCTCCGGAGTAATTTCATATCGATTGAGTAAATGTATATAAATAAATATATTTATAGCTACGGAGAGTGTCTTTTCTGTAAGCGCACTTAAAATTTCTCAATTTCCATCATTGTCGTTTATTTCCAAGTGCGATTTTAATAATGCGCGGAATAAAGTTCACAATAATTGTGGGTGAAATGCGAGAATGAAAATATCTTTGAGAGACAACTGCATATATATATATATATATATAACAAATGTTATTTGCATATGAATCCCTAGGCGAAATTAAACTGGACTTTAAACGAGACACGGTAGTCTAATAAAATAGTTCCCCGGCGCGTGCATATATTGTTGAAACACTAACTTTTATGCTCACAATCGTATACATATATTTTATATATATTATGTGTTTGCTACTTTTTTCTTTTCTTTCTTTTTCTTATTTTTGTCGTCCTATATATGTAGGTACTAAGGTACTTTATATCTATAATATATAATGTTCACGTGTATGTGTGTGCTAGCGAACACATGCGTTTGTGTTGGTTGACAAAAAATTGCCTTACCATCAAAACCAGGACTAATATAAATCCGGTTTAATTGTATATCGGTTGATTGAGCACGACGAATGGACGGGCGGTGCGGTAGAAAGTCGTAATGGTTCAAAGAGGCCCAGTGGAATTGTAAGAAACGATGTGCCTTCCTTATTTTCTTTTCGACTTCCAGACAGCAGTTTTTTTTTACGGGATACAATTTTCTTCATGTACGTGATACGAATGCTATTTTTTACGATACCGGTCACGGAGTTATGTAGGTAATTTTTTTTCACCTCTCAAATGAAATTTACGTGCACAAACCAAAGGTTATTTTTGGTAAATTATCATCCACTGATCTGATAAGTTAGTAATACAATTATCAATATTTTTAAAGGTAATACTCTGGTCACTTAGAAGAATGCCGTATATAGTAGTTATAAGCAACATTATACATTTCGAAATTATATAATATTCTATTTCAGCGGTAACCATCAATAAAAAAAATCTGTGATCCTCACTGACGCTTCAAGTCTGTAATTTTTGTTTTGCATTAAACCGTATGATATAAAAGAGAATTATATTTGAATGGTATAAATTTGCCATATACTATGTCACCCCACCGTTAAGGCACTTGGAGTTAAAAGCACCTTGTATAATAAGAAGCTATTAAAAATCCAGCTTTTGGAAAAAAAAAACCAGGCTATTTGGGCGAACAAGGTTATTTCATGGGTCATAGAACATAATGACTCATTGGCGAGAAGGGCGAGTCGAAAGAATAGAGATAAGTCGTAAAACAAAAGGACAAAGAGTCTGACCGTTCTTTTTGATCAAAATTACTACCCCAATGTATTTTCAAGTTCCATTCATGGCTTTGAAGTTTTCACTGACCAGTAAACTTTATACAGATAGCGTGAGGCGAGAAACACACCACATTTTATCATATATATTTAACGGTTCAATTATTGTTTTTTATAATAATTTTTATTTTATCATAATTGTTACCTTTTGTAATTTTTCTCAACGCAATTTTTATAGTTTAAGGATAAAAGCAAAACTTTAAATGAATGAAAGATTGTTTCATGTGTATAATATTATTTAATATTATATTCAGTTAGGAAGAAATGAAACATGAACAACTTTTACTGCAGTCAATGGCAATAATACTTTTAGTTTTGGCTCGACAAAAATCATTATATGTTTAGTACAATAATAACATTAATAACATGTTTACCTGTATTGCATCTCATATATATGTATATACGTATATATATATATATATATAAATAATCATGTGATGTGACGGCGTGTAATGACGAGTATCTTATATTTTGTATTTAAAACGTTGAACGTGCAATTTGGTGTTAAACAGAATTATAATATGATATTTTCATACCCATGTATAATATAATATTATATAGTATATAGTATATTTATATTATATACTAGCTAAGCCTGCGCGGCGTCTTTCATGAAAATGCCCGTGAATTTACCTAGTCTTAAAC